CTAAGCTTGCCGGAAGCATGCTCTCACATGTTGCAAAGGGAAAGAGTTTAGAGTCAAGCCAGTAGCAAATAAAGTTGTTACAGGGTTTTGGATATGGTCTGGGGTGCACGCTGCTCGGTGTTCTTGTATGTGCTAACATAAACTTAAACATAAACAATATTACACTCATCACCAGGGATTAGAAGAAACAACAACATCCTGAGTGACATGTTCGGGCACAGAAACACTGCAACGCTAAACACGGGCTTGCGCAATGCCCTACAACCCATAAACTAGATAAATCAGAAACCCTGCACAAATCCAAAAGGAAGCAACAACCCGAAGCATTCCACCGCCATCTCAAAAGCTCCGGGGCTCCCACATCTGTTTGCGCACCATCCGCAGGCCTTGACCTGAAAAGCGAAGAGGCCGAACCCGACATGCTTACTTCAAGGAGTCTGTTTGTAACTGTGCTGAGCCTCCGGAACTCGCGGTTCTCGGAACAGCTCATAATCAAGAAGAGAGCACCGCACTGAAAGACACTGAAGACTTCCAGACACCAGCTCATTGCGGATTGAAGAAATCGGAGCCAATACACAGGCGAATATCATCAAAAGCCCTGCGCTACAAAGAACCGCACGTCGCTTAGAAAACCTCAAAACCCTAAACGGAGGTTACATAAAGTCTGAGCCCCGTGCGCCAGAGGCACAGTCAAGCTCTCGGAATCCGTGGGGGCTAAGGCCGCCCGTGCTCGTCGAGCGAAGGAGTTCAAAGTCCCCCTTTTTGGGGCGTCGACGGCTTTTGCCAGGGTCCACTTTGGTGTTAGTTTTTTAGGGTATTTTTGGGTTTATGGCTTCAGCACTCACAACTGGGACAAGCCTGTTTAGGGCCTAGGGTTTGGGGCTTAGGTTTTGGGATTTCAGGGAAGCATGGGAACTTCGAAGGTGTTGTAGGTTCACAGTTTAGGCTGGGTTTTGGGCATGGCATTTGCTGCTTGTCTTGTTTTAGTATTGGGGCTTTGGAGTCCAGAGTGTAGCAGACCAAAAAATAACGCATCCACATGCCTGGAATAATGTCAATCATAATGCAGCCGATACAGTAGCGGGTGAATGCGATATGTGGTATGCACAATGGCACGACACAAGAGCTAGGAAGCTTCCTCGGAGATGTTGTTGGGTTACTTTGCCGGCTTAGAAGTTCGAGCTGTTCACTGCACGACTTGGCATAGCCTGCTAGGGCGGAAGCTAAGGAACATTTTTGGGTCGCGAAATTGAGAAGCCTTCTCCTGATCCCTGCTCCTTGAAGCGGGCTGCACTCGGCTCGAAGATTGTGCTACAGCTCGGGGGCATCGGGGATCTGGTTCTTGGCAGGTTCCTTTGGGTGTCTGTGCGTGCAGGTCGCCGCCAGTCGCCATCTTGCTCGCCTCTCATTGCCTCCTCGTCGTCCCCAGCCTTGCAAGGCTTGGGCGTGGGAAGCCCCACAGCCCTACCGGGAGGGAACCTGGACAGCAAACAAGAAACAAGTAGCCGTTATATAAAGGTCTTTGGGTGCTTCAATTGTACTCTCCATTTTGGGGCAAAGCTAGGCCCATGGAGCAAGAATCTGATCTAGCAGGAAGCTCCGCTGTTCAAAGCCGATACGACGACACAAATTCACCGAGCAGCAATACCAGCCATTGGCGGTGGCAGCTTCGCATGAAGTCCAGAGTGCTGTTTAGGTGCGCCCGGTCCCTATGGATTGATTGGGTCTTCAAAGCTTGTTGCTCTTGTTTGGCTAGTGACTATCTCATCAGCATACCGATGCCCTGATGGGAGCTGCCTGCACAGGGTAGAGTGTGAATGCTTCTTCGGTTAAGGGCAACTTTGCAACTTTTGCCACCGGGTAGAGAGATAGGATAAATTAGTAGATCGACAGATCTCAAAGATCATCTGATGGGAGGCGCAAGAAACGGCCTTGAACATCTTCTGAAGCTCGTGCACATCACAGATCCGCAGAGTGCTCTTGGCTCAAATCTCATTTACTACCTGGGAGTTTCCCGAAATAAGGGGTACCTTATTTTGGGGTCCTTATAATAGGGATCCTATTATTTAGGGTACTATATTAGGGTCCCCTATTTTCGGAAACCCCCACCTATGGCGGATGGCTCCAAAACAATCGCAGACTGGGATCTCTGCTTCGTAGAACTCAGCCTGCAGTACAAACCAATGCAAGCCAACTCGGAATCTTCCCTTGCATAGGGCAGTATATGGGGGTTTCCGAAAATTAGGGTACCTTATTTGGGGGTCCTTATAATAAGGATCCTATTATTTAGGGTACTATATTAGGGTCCCTATTTTCGGAAACTCCCATATAGACGTCCGGCCAAGGACTCGGAATCTCTCCCTGTACCTGCTCCATATGCTCCGGCTGCATTCCAACTGCCTTCTTCCCTGCTCAGGTGCACCCGCTTCGAATCAAAAGAATGCCGACATCATACTGGAGCTAAGACACAGTACTCAGTATCTCCATCAAAGACTTACCTGCTCAGGTCGTGATGCTTGCTCCGCGAGGCCTGCAAGCGATTTGTGGGTGGCTCCTAAAGAAGAGATCCCTCTTGGTGTCCGAAGTCCCTTGTCATTTTTTCTCGCAAGCAGGCGGACAAGGCGAGTCTCGAGCTGCCTCTGGGCTTATGCCGGAGACGCACTTATGCAAAAGAGAAGTGCCAGCCTCTTTTTTAGGCTTGGGACTCTGCATCAGTTGATGTTTCCGAGATCTTGCTGGCTTCCAATACCTTTTCAATAAAGCAGTACGCGCGATGCCAAAGTGAGGAGGACCGCATTTCATCCCTATTGATGGCTTCAACACTTGCTGCTGAATGGCTCGTCTCTGGGACCGATGAATGGCCATCTGCGCTGATACCGCCACTGACGAATGCATTGCTTGGTCTGAGACTGCCTTCTGCTGCTACCAAATTCACCTGGAGCCTGTTGAGATCATTTTGGAAGCGGCTTTGCAATGCAGTCAGCGCGCCCCTGACTGCTGCAACCAAGTACTGGTTGATAGCCGTAAAGCCGCCTGGCTGCTGGCGCACGAGGTCATCAATCATCTCCTTGTCTGACTGCACGCTGGCGCTAGCATCCTGCAAACGTAAAGTAGACAGCTTTTCTGAAACGCTCATGGCCATGTCCATGTTGCTTTGGCCATAATTCATCACTCCAGAATGGGTGCATAGCAAGAGTCCTTGAAAATCAGCATTATCATGCGACAAAACTGCAGTCTGCAAAAGTTCAAACAAGCACCACGATCTGGTCAATGGCATTGCCTCTTCATCAAGAACCATGAGTGTCCCCATGCAAAGGCCGCTCCGAAGTGCAAGATAAAATGATGAATGTTCCCAAGTCTCACCAAGCTCCTCTTTGATCTTCCACTGATTGTTGCTGAAGGTGCAGATCCAATACGACATTTGCCTGCAAGCACCCCCTCGGGAATGCTTCTGCAATGCCTCAACAAACTGACTGAAGGAACCGCCCCAGTAATGCGAAACAAACCACCTCACGGAGCTAGGCCCGGCCAGCTCAGCATACGACAAGAGCCGGGGCTGTGTGAGAGGACACACCAAATTACTACATACATAGTACATGTTCCGTGTTCCAATATACTGCTGGAAATAGTTGAAGAACTGCCAAAGCTGTTGCAAGCTTATGGCTCTGCCAGGACCACGTTCACAACTTTCGGGATGAGGGCATATGGCGTTTAACTCCGACCTAAAGACATTCAAGTCCTTGTTTATGGCAGTGCGGGATAAGGAGTAGCATCTCCAGCAATGGCAACAGCAGCTCAAAAACAGCCCGACTGCGAAGCCGAGCACTTCGAGCAACGTTGGCTGGAATTGGGGTAGCCCTTGTAGCGCGCCGGCCAACACCACCAAAGCCAAAATACAAAGAAAAAAGAACAGCGACCAACACATAAAAGGTATGTTCAGCAGCCCGACTCCAAGAAAAGCATCACGCCAAAGCAAGCGCATCTCACCTGTTGACGTCTCGGACACGGGAAGCATTGCTTTCGAACCATCTTTGTTGTGGAGAGACAACTTCGAGTAGTCCTCTACTCGTGCATAGTAGACTTTGCTAGAATCATCAAGCCAAGGAATCTTCGTGCCACGGAAACATACTCTGACTTGACCGGCCCTGGAGAGAATGTAGTGCTGACCATTGGTTGTAACCTGTACGCGATCCCCGAGAGTTCGGACGTCCAAAATGATCATGCGCAAGCCACATGCAAAAGGCAGTGGGAGAAACAGCAGCATCGAGACCAAAACGACAGGCAGCCCCATGTACGCATTCATGTGCGAATATTGGCAGCCTGCCCTGTCTTGAGTGACTTCAACCCGCCACAAAAAATGCGTGCATTCATCGCAAGAAAAGCTACCGTGGAACTCCGCAAAGTGCCCCTTCAAGCATTGCTCACAGCGATCGCCATTGCCAGCGCCTGGCTTGAAATAACCTGGTGGGCATGGCCTGCAGCTCCAAAGTTCGCTCTTCACATACTCAAAGCCAGCACCACATTCCCCGCGTTCACAATTCTTGCCGTGAAACGGGGCAGAGCATTCACAGTCGCCCTCCCCAAAGGCAGTTAGATTGTTGTACGCACGCGATGTAGGACTGATCTCAAGTGCAAGCTCCTGAGCATGGTGAGCATCACGGCATTGGCCTCTTAAAGAGCATGCGGTGCCATGAAGGAGAATGCCTGGACACGGGCTGCACTTCCTTGTCAAGGCGACGTCTTTTGGCTGATACACTGCCGACTTGCCACTACGGAAATAGCCAGAACCACAACCAGAGCAATCGGCCTGATCGTAGCCTGGCCAGCATGTGCAGGTGCCAGTTGCCGGATCACACATACCATGTTGGCAGGAGTCCGGACTCTTACACCAGCCACCTTCGAAATACCCCAGCCCAAGCAAAACATCCCAGTCACCATCGTTGTCCCAGTCTGCAATGCTGACTCGTCCTCCCCGCCCCGGAAGGCCAGCATAAGGACCCGGGTGTTCGGACCAACTTCCCCGGACAGTGTCCGACGCTAGCCGCTCAAAGTTCCAAACCTTTAACCTTGAATCCACTTTTCCACTCCCCACGAGTAGAAGATCAACGTCGCCGTCTCTGTCCCAGTCGCCAGCTCTTGGCGCAACATATCTCACGAAGTAGTTCTTCTGTGTCAAAGTCAAATAACATCTACCATGAAACGTTGCATTGTCAAATTGTTCGTAGTAAAACACACCACAGCCGTAGGCGTACCCTGCCCTGACCCCTGTCGAGCTGCCAAGGAAGAGATCTAAGTCGCCATCACCGTCCCAATCAACGACTTCTGGTGCCGCCAATCCACGCACTGTAATATTTTGAAATGGGTTGGCTTGGCCTGTGATTGCATAAAGCGATCCGTTGGAGGCTTGCTTGAAGAAATGCAAACTTCCATCTCTCGCCCCTACCACAAGGTCCAAATGACCGTCGCTGTCCCAGTCGATCGCTTTGGGTACTGCACGCCTACTGACATTGACAGCGTGGAACGGATTAAGAATGCCGATCTTTTCTTCCACGGTGCCATCAGCATGTCTCTCAAAATAGCGCATGCCGCCCATACTCGTGCCAAGCAACAAATCAACATCGCCATCTCCATCCCAATCTACGAACTCTGGGAAAACCTCGCCATCTGTTTTGATTTCTGCAAAAGGATTGTCAGGCCCCCAACGCCGTTTGAGGGTTGGGTCTGGGACCTGCTCCAGGAATTCAATGCTCGTTACTGGACCATCTGACCAATGCTGCTCCACTTTTACTACATCAAGGTCTCCATCACCATCGAAGTCAGCTGCTACAACAACATTGTCGCTGTAGTCGTCCTTGAGGAAATCGAGGACGCCTCGGTCAACCAGGCTCATGTCTGCAGCTCGTGAATACAACTTCGGACTTGCACTGCTCGAACAGAGAATATCTAGATCTCCATCGCCATCCCAATCGACAGCCTGAACACGGCTGATTTGGCCAGTTGGTAAACCAGAAAGGGGGTTGGCCACGCCCGTCCTGGGCGAAAGGCTGCTGTTTTGGAGTCGCTCGAAATAACACCAACCTCTGCCGGACCAACCACTTCCACAACGAAGAAACAGATCCTGGTCACCATCCCCATCCCAATCGGCCGTCTCAAAATCGACAGCGCTGATCATATGGAACGGGTTTTCGACTCCCGTCAGCTCAAGAAGCTGTCCATCTGGAGCCTGCTGGAAATACCGCAAGTTGCCCCGATAAATATCTCCTGATGCAATAATGAGGTCAGTCCTGTTGTCTCCATCCCAGTCAACCAGTTTCAGTACTCGGGGTCTACCAAGCCAATCACTTGTGTAGTTGATAGATATGTTCTCGAATGGGTTGCTGCATCCCGCTCTCTCGCTGAGGTTCCCCTCTGTATTCTCGAAAAACCGAAGATAGGAGCTGAAGGATGAACTATTATTGCTGGTCAAGGTGACCAAGACTAAATCTAAGTCACCATCATGGTCCCAGTCAGCAAGAGCGAAGTCAACCACTTCTGAATCACGCGTGCGAGACTCACTCAGCAGAGTGTGTCTCATGAATTGGCCAAGATTGCCGTGGCACTTGCCCCTGAAGGGATAGCAAAACTCTCCAGCTTTGGTGCATTCTGCAGGCCAAGAAATGATGACTAGGATGGCCGTCAGCACAGTTGTCCGTGGCATGAATGGCATTTTGTCTTCTGACACGATTAAACTAAACTATATCTTCTCCAATGCGTCAAACACCCTTTTCTGTCATCGGTCCTTGGGTTGATACATCTACACATTGACGTGGCAACTTGAGCCGTAGCCATTCGTAAGGCTCTGATTGAGGGACAGTTCTAAATCTGCGGAAGCCAACTGAACCCAGACTCCTTGAGCGCCTGGCTCCCCGCCCTCCCAACGAGGTGACTGAAGATCTATTCTTGTTTTAGCTATTGATTTTCTATGGTTTTTTGAAAGCCGGGGTTGGTGGGGCTTGAGTTGCTTGATGCTGCGTGGCGGCATTTCACGAGGGGGAGGGCCGCATGTAATAGGAATGAGTTGCTTTGTTATAAACCGTTTAATGCTGGAATGCTTTCGGGATTCGGCCGGCTGGAATTTCATTTGCCGTGATACAGCCTTGACTCCAGAAAAAAGTGTCCATCCGGAATCCTGCTGGAAGCCATTCTGCTGGGATTGATCCTGGCAGGAGCAACCTTCCTGGAGATGACTCCCCGGCTGGAGTGCATTTCGCGGTGGTCTCGTTCCGTGGGATTACCCTCTTCACACCTAAGGCACGTTCTATCGTTTTTTCGCAGTGTGTGCATCAAAACTTGGTATAGGAAGCATATCGGCAGGACTGAGCAGAACTCCGTCACCCCCCCCATTCACCTATTCACCGGCCTCCATGAACCATGTAATGCACTATGGGACAAGCTTGCCCCGGCCCCGTGCCAACGTGTCGCTTACGTGATAGACTTTCAAGTGACTTCGCACGGCATATCGCGGAAGGCCACCATTGTTCGAACGGGAAGATCGAACAAACAAGAACAGCCGGGAACTATTCGGATAATTAAATGGGTCGCTGTCAAACCCACGGTCCCTCGGAAGAACACTAAACGAACCTGCAATGCAACACGTGCGGGCCACATGAGTGTCCTCTTTCTCCTGCCGTCATCGCACAGAAGGCTCGGCAGCCACGAGCAGAAGAGGCTCAACTGCTCAAAGAAGCCCTCCAATCTTAAGCATCCATGGCTTTTCTAACTTATGGAGCCTTCAGAAGTTTAGGGCATATAGGTGCGGTTTAACGCGTTTTGGGTTCCGGATGGCTTCCAATTGTGGAGGCTGGGGACTGGCCTGGCGCAGCATCACATAGGGCAGTAGGATGGGAACTGATAGGAATCCTGCATTACCTTAAGGACATGCAGGATTTATATCCAACCGTAGTTCGGGATGTGCTCAGAAAAAGCATGTTTGCACCAGGCACCGGCCTTTAACTGTTGAATGGGAGCGCTACCCTAACTGATCCGTGCTTGAAAGAGCTCCGAATCTTCCATCAGAGTTTCTCTAAGACGTCTTGTCATCGTTGTCACCGGCCTGGCAGCTTCACGAGAGAACTTGGGTGGGGGTGAGCGGCCGGGTCTTGGCTTAGTTGCGCAGTCGTTGTATCCTATGGGTTTAAACTTAACCTTTCGGTTTATATCGGGATCTGATCCTAGCTCCAAAAATAGATAAATTTACCTTTGAAGCACGAGCACTGGGTCCTGAATCCAAAGCTCCGCCAGGCCTCCCCTCGTTGGAGCCCCTGAAACTCCCAGAAGCCTTGAGCCCTCGGGCCTGTCCCGTTTCACTGGCTTTCAGGGTTTAGGGGTTTAGGGTTTAGGGTTTAGGGTTTAGGGTATAGGGTTTAGGGTTTCTGGGAAGCTTTTCTTTCCAATCTGCTCGTAGCATCGTAGCTGATCAGAAGATGGACCAAGGAAGAAGCTGGAGCTGTCTGGGGCTTCTGCAGGACGAAAATACTCATGCAGGGTCTGCGGGAGTTAGCCACACGTAGCGCACGACGCAGATCGCGACCGAATTGATCTCAAATATCTCAAGAACGAGTTCCGCAACTACTGAAACCCAGCAGCCTAAACCCTTCTCGCGCCTGCTCCATGGCCGACATCACGCCGTACATCGAGCCCCACACCAGCACCAAGTGGGGCAAGCCGAGCTGTGTGAGCTCCCTGGCTAGGGCTTCTTGGGCAGGCTGTGCCATACATGCAAGACGCAAGTCGCAGGATGGCGGAGCGAGTCGTGTGCGATGGAGAGAAAGAGAGAGAGGGAGATAGAGAGAGAGAGAGAGAGCGATCGGAAGACGAAAAAAGCGAGCGAACAGCAAGCGAGAAAGACATGCAACAAAGAAACTATTCTGCAAACATTTGTCTTCAGGAAGAGTTGGTAGGTAGGCCTATCATTGTGGGCAAAGTCGAAACCAAGGAGCAAGGCATCCCAAACTCCAGAGACATCATCATCAAACCCTGAGCTCAACCTCTAAACTTCCCGGACCGACCAGCACGAGAACCCGCCGCCATCCGAGAAGGGCTCAGCTCATCAAGGAGCCTGGTGACCACGATGGGTAGTGCACCGAAAAGCGTCAGCACGACCCCGAGGTACCTGACTGCGGTTTCTTCTTTAAGGGGAAAGACGAACTTCAAGCCCGGAGTCAGATCCTCCAGCCCAGCCCATGGACAACCTGAAGCCCTAAGTTAATAGGATGAGCATCGTGCCCCCTCATCGCTGAACCGGCAGCCTGGCAGCTAAAAATGATAGCACACCGCCAAAAAAAAAACGCATCACTGGGAGGACTAACTGCTCGACGTTCTTGATACCATTACCTGAAACAATGCTTCTGGATGCTTTTGCAGTTCTTGATGTCGTCCTTCTGCACCGGTTGATGCCATGAGTTAAATGTTCGTATAGTATCGGCGCTATTCAGAGGTGCATCGCAGTGCTGGGGGCTCTCGCACCACCCCTCTCATAAACCCCAAACACCTAAACCTTAAAGCTCAAGCCTTAGGTTTAGGTTTACATCTGTTTCCTCAGCCCTGCACAGAAATCGAAGCCCAGGACCCGTGATTCCAGACGTCACGCTCATAGAGCTGTGTCGGGAGCTTGTGAGTGGCTCTTCGGTGCTAAGCAGCCTCGATGAAATCCCAAGCCTTACTCTGCCCAAAACAGAAACCGAAGCCCAACACCCCCCTCCCGAACTCAAAGACCCGCCTCTGAACAACCCAAACTCTCCAAAAAACTGCAAACTCCCAAACTCTAGAACCCTGGAACTCCCAAGCTCCCAAGACCCACATAACCTTGCATCCCCAGGTCGAAGACCCAAGACCAGAACGCCCAAAACGCTTGAAGAACAAGGGGAGCAAGGAATCCAAAGCTTGAGACTGCCGCCTGAAACCCCAAAACCTGAAGCCCACAACAACCAGAAAATCCAAAACATCTCCGTTAAAGAACCACTCCCCCTGACCCTAACACCTAAACCATTCTCGGCCATGGCGCTGTGGATGTCGCAAGCCCGTGTTAAAAGGAAAGCCGTGGCACCACGGCACTGTCCGCCCCAATCTGGAGAGGCGCAGGCGTATAGAATGATCGGGCTTATCGAGCTGTTTGGGCCTAATCGGGTTTGTAGAATGCACAGCTTCGGGTAGACGGATCTACGGGCTTGGTGCAGGAGACACGGCGGCTTCAGATCTCTGAAAAATTGAGCCTCGGGAGTATAGCCTCCAAGGTCCACCCCCTCAGGTTCAAAAGCTTGCGGTCCCGCGGAGCTTGCTGAGGATCCCCACAACTTTGCAGCTGGATCCCCCTACCACCCTACAATATTCGTGTTTGCCTGCGAACCCGAAGCATCTTCCGGACTTTTGTCGGTATTGGAAGCTTGAAGTTTCGGGGCTCGGTTCTTGGTTTCGAACCCCCGGGCTTTGGAGGGTGGCGGTGCTGAATCAGGCCATCGTTCAGCCTTGCATCGACAACGAATCCAATAACTATCGCTTAGCAGAGGCATCGCCGATGTTCTGAGCTGATATCTGGCTAAGACTGTGAAGATGGGCAGACACGGAGATCAATGTTTTCAGGTTGTTTCGAATAATGCTATAACATGCAATAAACGGTCAAACTCAAACATGGCCTGCAGTGGTCGAGGTCGTAAGATACTCAAATGCATCCAGGCCGCTTGAAGCCGTAGTAGACACCAGCATTACCGATAGCGTTGTACGTGGCCGCGTTGAGGGCCTGCTTCCCAGATTCTGTTTCTAACAAGGACACCATTTGCCTAGCGGCTCTAGCACGTGCATTCATTAAATTCATTAGGGCCTCTTTTGTGACATGCAGATAGCACATAACGCCACAGGCACCGGCATCACTCCCGACGTCTTAGCACTTTGCTTTCATGTATGAGTCGATGCGTGCATTGTTCTCGAAAGATGGTGCAACCATGGTTTATAAGGGCCAGACAAAGCAACCCAACATGGGGTTCGTCCGAAAATTTAGACTATAGCTTTAAGCAGCGAGAATCTAAAGGAAGAATCTAAAGGAAGAGCAACTAATATTAGTTGTTGTTCGTAGTTCTGGAGACCCCCATTCCACATAATTACACGAGCCTTCCGCTCCAGGTCGGTCAAGGACTTTAGGCTGCGTATGGTAACTGGGATGTTTCTATCAAGCAAAAAAGGCCTGCCCGGCCGCGAGTAGCCCGGCGAAAACCGCCCAGCACCTCGACACGAGCAGAACTGGCCAGTCGTCGTTATCCTCCCCCTGCTTCTTGCGCCTCTTGGCCGACACCGTCGACGTGGCGGCGTTAGGGGTCTACGGCATGCTTGCAATGTTATACTTATACTTGAACCATCACATAGCTCGTTACGAATACGTTCCGAAAACACGTGCCGGGATCATGGGTTTGGAAGTTACTGTAAGCCGAAGGCACCAGGCGGGGGCTGTCCTAGCGGCCTCCCACAAAGCGCTTCGGCCACTTGGACCTGGATCGGGACTTTGACCGAAAAGCATTGCTTGGGACAATCGCTTTGCGGTGCTTCTTCCATGAGGCCGACTTGGAACGCAGGCTTCGAAGTTGTGGCATAAAGCGGAATGCGGTTGAAACTTGAAGCTTTGATCGCCAAGCGGCCTGAGCTTCCGCCCAACTTGCAAGAAACGGCCTGGGGAGCCGGCCCAGAAACATGCCAACTGATCCGGCTTGCACGAGCTTGGCGACAACCTGTCAAGGGCCGCGCTCGCAGTGACAACTTCTTCAGTCGACTTTCCTTCAGCTGATGCCTGGATGAAGCATCGACTACCCGAACCTTTATTCCTCCCTTCACAGCACATGTCAGGAGGACCTGCCTCTAGGGACGCGAAAACGTCCACGGGATGCGACCCCAATAGTTTGAGGGGCGGCTTGTCACACAGAGCGGCAAAGCGCTTTGAGTAGTTCCTGAGGCGCTGGATGTACATGTCGAGCCGGCAGGTGGCTTCGCTGCTAAGAAACATACATCAAATCGTGACGATCTGCCGTTGTGCAAACTCAGCGTATATGCCGAGCTGCCAAATGAAGCCATGCATGAGGTAGTTCGTCGACACGCCGAGCCTGAGTGACATGGCGGAGCAAGCTTCGTGCCAGAGTGTGTTGGCCTGAGAGCCTATACCTGTGGGGCATCAGTAATTTTTGGAGATGAAAAGACTTGTAAAGTGGTAACCTTTTACAAAAGCTGGTGAACATGGGTTTCCCGAATCTGGCGGCTTGATCCTGACTCTGGAAAGGTTGTTGATCACGGGTGTCTCGTCTTTTGTCGCCCCCATCGTCGGGGTTCGGCGTAGTCTTCGGTCCTCATTCTCGTCAGGCCACGGTCATCGCCGCCCTCTCCCCCCCTCCAGCCTTCCAAACCGGAACCGTAAAAACCCCAAGCCCCAAACCCCCCAATCCCCGAAAACTGAGAATGTGAAGTTCAATTATGGCGCCGGGTCGCAGGCACAGCCACCAGCTTGGTGACCGAAGGCAGTCCCCCGAGCCGAAGGCATCAAAAGTGTCCAGCTGCCTGCCAGAAGATCCCGGATCTCTCCGGATCTTAAGCGGAATTTCATGGACTGGTTTTTCGGTGGGGGGAGGCTTTATTGACTTTAGTAAGCTGTTTAGGGTTCTACGGTTGGAGATTCATGCTTTGCTCTCAGCTTCCGAGCAACTTCCAGGCCAGCAGATAGGAACTATGTGTATAGTACATATGAACTCAGAGCAGCCATTCACTGCCCGAGAAACAAGCGAACCACAAACTCCCAACCGACGTCTGTGAAAGCACGGCACTAGGCAAGAACTACAAAGTGCGCGACAAATGCCATATATCCAAATTCCTCCCCAGTACTAGCAGATGATGGGAATGTTCTTGAAGCCACTCGCCCGTCTCTTGTAAATGTGCTATTGTTTGCCGCTATTCTGATTTTGTGCGTCCTAGGTCTACTCAGTTTGTCCAGCTAGCGGCCTTTTTGTAGCAAATGACCATGAACTCTACAAACCCCTGACGAAGGGTTCAGCACCCAACCTCGGGTTGCTAAGTTGAAGGCAGTACACCGGCACTTCGCTCAGGCCGTGGGGGTGAGTGAGCTTGCATAGTAAATTGGTCTTAACCTAAGTTCCTTCTTGGTCATATTTCATGCTCCAGATACATAAGAGAACCCTAGAAGCCTAGAGTGAATCGTGTAGGCCCCTGTTACTCACTGGGGCCTCCAACCCGGCGCCTGACATGCCTGGCTTTCTAAGCCTCGCGAGATACGATCTTTAGGAGTAAACTTGGAAGACACTGCAATGCTGCAAGGCTTGCCATGCTCGGTCTTGAAAGCAGGCTGTGGGATGTGCTTGCCCTTGCTGAAACAAGAGCCCCGCTCGGAGGGCCTTGTATCGAACAGCCTCCATGTATGACGTCTAGCACGTAGGCACGGTGAAAAATCAGTAATACCCAATGTTGGATACCGCTGCGCTAGCACCACGTCCCCAGCGCATGACAGCACCACTGCAATCGAAGATGATGCGAGCCACTCCCCAAACACCCTTTGAAACTGCTGGCTGCCAGAACATGACTCTTCGACTATATCCGAGGCCCTTAACGTCAAACCCTGAACCTATGCCAGAAAGCTGCCTGGACCGCAGGGCTGCCGGGAAGCAGGCCGCCCCACTTAGCAGAACTTCGAAAGCCATCTGTGGAGCAAGCACCTCTCACAATCGGGTTAAGGCTTAGGTCAATCGCGAACCCCAAACCTATGAACAAAGAAAGGCTTGCATCTCGCCTGTGGTGCACTTAATACAAAACCTAGATAAGATTACCTGATGTTACTGACTTAGCCATTACGGAAAGACCATCGGATCGGGGGAGCGATGACGCATGCGGCGTTGGCCTTGTAAGTATGAAGGTGCAAAGATCGCAGCTGAATAGGACCTCGACCCTTCGACCCTCCATGCAATTGCAAACCCTAAACCCTAAACCCTAAACCCGACACGGAGCCTCCACCAGGCTACCACGGCAAGCTGCAGGCTGCAGGCAGGCAGCTTCCAAAAAGGCTGCTCAGTGGATTGCGGGAGGCTGTGGATCCGAGCCTCTTCTGCTACTTCAGGACCTTGTGCCTATGACGGCCGCGGGAGATCAGGCAACTGGTCCGTTGCAGCAAAGCAGCCACTGCGCTCAGGGCACTCATTTTAACTGCGGGAGACCTTCTGCGAAAAACAATGATTGCATGTGGCACGCAAGCTGACTTTGGCTCGCGACAGTGGCTAGCTGATTGCCAGTATGCTATCTCTCTCTGTCGTGACGTGCAACATGACATATGCTAATACCCCCTATACAGGCTAGGGCTCAATTAATTAAGGTTTAGGCCCTAAACCCTAAACCCTAAACCCTAAACCCTAAACCCTTGGTTCAAGGTTCCTCAAACAGGGCCAGCTTCGCGGGCCGAAAGGACTAAGGAATCTGAAGACCCGTGGACGCTCTCAGAGCGCGGGACGGGTACGCAGACCTCGTCACAGCGCACACGGTACCCGGCGGGGTTGGGCTTTTAGGATGCAACATTGAGGATGGTGCACTTCTCGCATAACTGCTGTGCGGCGTTTATGGTTCTTCTTATTATATTACTGTTATTAATGATTTTTTCTCTTCCTGTTAAGTAAATTCCTCTTCGGCACACCAGCACGGATATACATGCTTCACCCAGGTCCCGCAAGCCCCCATACGCCGCGGAGTGGCCAGGAGTGTAAAGGACACCGCGATCAGGCAGGTTCCGATGCACTGCGCCACGCTGGGCATCTCGCCATGCACGGTAGCGTCGATAAGCATGTTCACCTGGGCTTCACATGCATAATTGAAAACAGTAGACTAGCAAAGAGAGCAGCGCAAGCATGGGCAGCGAAACTAACTGCAGAGCGACAGCAGAAACTGGCACCCAGCCATATCGGCAACTGAACAATGACAAGTGTGTCTGTTCGTTGTTATTATCTACGGCAAGCTGAAACGCAGCTTCAAATTTGATCCGCAAAATGCTGGGACATGGCGATGTTTTGTTCTTACACATCTCAACAAAAATCGCAGGCCAAGCAGCTGGAGTACCCAGCACCACGCCCACTGAAATGAACACCGGACTTGCAACAGCCTCGCAAGCACATCGCACACTCGACGAACGGAGTGCGTTGCACGTGGCGTTTTAGCACACTTCGTTGGGAAGACATGGGTCTGAATTTACATAGGTGAAAACTGGTGGAAATGGCCGATGAAAGGTCTAACATGATTAAAAATACCCTCTACCACCCGACAAGCCGAAAAATACAGCGCCATGTGCACTGACTATGACTGGGGAGTGACCAGCCCCCAGGCGATGGAGGTGTTGTAGACCACATCCACGGCTGCGCTGCCGATGACCAGCGGCCAGTTGACAGCAACGGAGCCTCAAAGCAAAGACAGTAGCCGGCGGTTCCGTGCACAACCTCACGCTCATCAGTTGCGCAAACATTTCTACAGCGCTCTGGTGGTGCAGAGCTTCTCGGAGCCAAGAGCCGCCTTGGAACCTTCAGGTTTAAGCACCCCCGGATCTCAACTTACTGTGAGAGCCTCAAGGAGAAAAGTAATGTCGTCCTCTGGGAACCAGTCAACCTCCAACTCCCGTGTCGAAGACCCTACGTCTAACATGGTCCATGTCGCCGCTCCACCATCGATCCTCAACACCCAGCTCTGCCAGAAGCAACACCACCGGCAGGCCGAAAATGGCGGTCTTAGCTTGCTTGAACCAACAGTACACCACAAGAAGATTTTCTGAGTCTGGAAGATTGCCTGTATCACAGACACCAGTATCATTATCGCCAGGCGTCTGGCGGAAACGTCGTGGAATAAGGTATAGAATGTACTCTACGATATGTATGCCATGGCTCATCGGCAAATATGCATCGCACAATTCTTGAGGCTCGGTTTCCCTAGACCCCGGAACTGCCCACCAGGATGTCCAAACCTGTCCAACGCAGCTTGAACCGCATGTTCATGTTCAGTCTTTGAAAAGGCCCCTATGAATGCAAAGCTGCAGCCACAGCCGTGGCAACTTCATGCCCAAGAAACACCGTTTTTTTTGAGGCTTTGTAGGTTCTGAGGGTGAAGTTTAGGGACCTCTGGCTTGCCAGCCCCAGCAGAGCCCAGGTGCTAACAGTCCTAACACCCCTAAACCGTCGATATAGGGTCTCGGGTCTAGCTAGCATGTAGTGGTCTGAAGTGTGGTTGGACTGGCCTCCCCAGTCATTTTGATGCGGGGCTGCGTGCTTCGATGCAAGTCTCCATGCCAGGACCAAGTGGCAACCATCCCGAGCGTTCCAACCTGGATATCGACATGAGCTAACTAAGGCGCAGTGAGCGTGATTAAACCCAGGTCGAGTGCTTCCTGATGCAACTCCCTGATGCTTCGACACCTGTCACAGCTATCATTGAGATTGTTTGCCCTTGCATCCAAGGCGGCATCGACAGATGCCTCAACCTTCCGAGTCAATAACCCGGAACTTCGACTCTTCGAACCAGCTAGGCGAGGAGCTGTTCCAAGCACGACGTGTGGTGGCGGAGCGCCCAACCGAACTTTGAAGGACACCTTGTAGCAAGCCTCGTCCACACGGAGCTCAAGTTTTGACAGTGGGGGCTTTAGTTAGTCCGGATCCCTCTCAGCTGTCAGCTGTTCTCTGCAGCTTCCTCGCTTCACAGTTCACAGTCTCTGCCTGAAGCCTGATCTTGTGTTTCAAGCAGCGGGGGAGATCCCGCAGGCTCCAAGCACCAGCATACTGTTTACTGCAGGGACCTTAACAACAAGTAGCATAGGGTTTGGGGTTCTTTTACTATAATACTATAATTATTATAAGGAACCCCCCCAAATAGTAATGGTAGTTACTTAGGCCCCTACATTACTGCTTAAGGGGTCATTATAACCGGCCTGAACGCAACTCTTCAGACCCCCCGGCTGGGACACAAGCTGCAGCTAAAACGCCGACGCAAAGACAGCTGCCAGGGCAAAGAAGGAGCCGAGGACGACGTTCATCCCCGATTTGCCTTCACCGAGCACAAAAAGCATGATAAGGCTTTGAGGCTCTAGGACTGTCGGGCTTCAGGTCCAGCACAAAACTCTCCAAACACATACCTGTAGTATGCAGTCTGAAGACTGCCGTTCCCGCAGTCAAGCAAAGCTGCGTTGGAAACCAGATCTGGAAGCCAGCACAGTAGCTCCTGCAACACATGCTTTCCGGAGCCATCACTTGAAAAATCCGGGAACTTGTGCCTTCCATATACGATTCCAGGCCAAGTGCTTTGTTTCTCGTCCATGCCCAGGTAATGAAATCTAGTTAAGTAGCACCTCCGCACAGCCGCTAGTGGCGTGCAAGCTCTCTTCTTCTTGTGCAGCCCTTGGTCATATCTCGAAATGCTTTTCGACTAAGGAATCATGGTCTACAAGCGCCAGCCTTGCTGTGCTGCTCTACTTGTTCGAAGTGCCTTCTCCAAATAGCAGGACGACACATACTGAGATGATGAGCTCAGAGCTCACTTGCTACTATTGTCTGCTTCAGTGTAGTTTGTGTATGCAGCCCATGCGTTTTTCATGTGCTTTATATTCGTTGTACAACTGCTTCCTGTCGGAATGTTTATCACTTGCAGAAATGGCCTGCGTATGAATGCGCGCAAGTACCGGCATTCGTGTTAGATCCATTTGACCCCAAAGCCCTAGAGCCCCTAAAGCCATAGTTGGTCCTGCAAAAGCCAGAAGGACAGCTACTGTTCTCGCGAAGGTGAAGCGCTCTGCCAGGAAAATGCGGCTGAGCAATGCAACCTGGCTGCCAGGAGTATGGGGCTTTAGTCAAGGCTTTAGCAGCTGTAAGGCAAATACACCCCGCAGGATTCGAACATCTGCTGAGTTTTGAATGCGCCATCATAAATTTCTGGGTTCGACTCACGCAGTCGAAATCTTGAAGCCTGGGTTTCTGGCTTTGCTCTGTGGGCCGGCTTTCGCCCGGGTTGCTCGGTCGAGACCAGTGAAGACGCAATATGTCGAGCCATGCATCATTTACCCTGCAGCCGGTCTGCAAATGGCACGCCAAAGTTCATACTACCGAGATCGTGAAACCTGAATCAAAAATCCGATTCCAGAGGAACTCTCAATGCTTGATAGTATGCTTGATGCCTTCAGGCTGCAAAAGTATACCGACGGTGTAGGTGCCGTTTGTCCAAGCAGTTTGCTTTAATTCTGCCGTGTTGAAGAAATACACCCTCAATTAAAGGCCAGGCAAACTTTGACCCTAGGTTTTGCGGCCGAGCTGCAGAATAGCTAGTACACTGCTACTACAGTGTCGGTTCAGTTCTCCATAGCAATAAAGTTAACCTCGTGAAGAAAAGACTACAGAGACCCTAGACGCAAACTCTATAACCCTTGTTTGGCTTTGCAAAGAGAACTGGGTCGCCTGGGACGGGCCCGTGCCAAAGAGGGTTTGCACCTGGGCCAGCTTCATCCAAGTACGGATTTCGGGTTGTTTTGCCTCCCACCCAGGACAACCCCGCATCGCAGGGTCCAGTTGAAAGCACCGGGTTTCGTGCCTTGGGGTGTTGTGTGTTCGAAGGTGCCGTCTTATCATAAGGATGCTGTGGTGTCCCTTTAGCATTTAGGGCTCATACGAGCTTAGGATGGCTTAAGGGTTTGGGATGCTTGGTTCAGGATGTTAAGAGGGTTCCAAAAGCTTGCGCTTCTCTGTACCAGGCTTTCGGGAAGGCTATCCCAGGCCATCGCCAGCGCTACAGCTTTCAGTCATGAGCCTCAATCCTCACTCTAGCCACTCTAGCCCCACGGTCTGAGCTCATTTCGTAAAAAAATGCTTCAGGGCGCCGTGCGCTAAACATATCCCGTACTCAGGTTGAAAGAAGGTCTGTCGTTAGGATGTGTAAGCGGGGCTGCCAAGCAACCTTGGGATTGAAGGGACCATCGAAAGGCTAACTCTTGGGCCTTTCTGAAAAATAAACAACTTGTCACACTCCGGAACTGCTACGTACAAGCTACCCGTAGCGTTTCGACTCTGCGGCCTGTTTGTAAGTTGCAAAGCCATAAGTCCATAAGCCTTAGGATGTCAAAGGCACCACCCCAGCAGGCGTGAGCGCGAGCGCCTGCACCAGGGAGTAGTTGGACACCACCTCGGGATTCGGCTTCAGGATCGTCTCTAACCCTGGTTTCTTGGGCTTGGGGGTTGGACTTTACGGGCTTGGTTCGAGCAAGATGTTTTCACGAGAAAGGTCGATTAGGATTCACAGAGAAAGTTCACAGTCAGAGTCATAGTGTCTAGAAGTGTGGCCCGCTAGGAATGGCGAATTTCCGGGCCTACTAATCGTCTAATCAGGGGTTCGGCCCGTTCTGCGTGAAGCTCTCTGACTCTAGTTTCTGAGTTCAACGATCAACTTTCTTGCGTAGTGAGAACCAGCCAAGACATAAAGGCAACAATGCGGCTACATCTCAGGCACTTAGCCAGAAAAGGCCCACATAATCCCGAATTTTCAGGCTCTTCTGCCGGCAGGAGGCCCAGAGCGGTAGGAAGACGCAAACGTCCCTGGAGCTGGCGGCATAGCACCCACCCTGAGCCAAAGATCGTGCCAAAGGCAGCAGCAAGGCCATCATGGCGATGTGAATGTACCTGACACGAGGAACTACAACCGAACGGGACCTTGTGCGAGAAATTAGGGACATGGCGACAACAGCGAGCTAAACACTGCGACTGACCATCATCAGACAAACTAGCAGTAATCACAAGGTCGGGGTCTGAGCCATCAACAACATGGGACTTCGATGCTTTCGGCGGATTGCGGCTGATGGCTGCACGCCCTACGCCCTGAAAACTGCCAACACTCAGCTTCGCCAGGACCCACGATCACGCAAACCAGAAGCGCAAACACCTCAAAACCCAGCGCAGGGGCACATAACGAAGGCCGGTGCGTGCAGCCCACTTTGGGCCGCTCGAGTCAGCTGCGTGGCAGTTACTGTCGCAGCGGAGGTCGTCAGTACGGCGGCGATCGCCTCGCCTGACAAAATAGGTAAGTATCCATTGGCAGCAATTTTCTGGATAACCTGCACGGTGCTGTGAATTGCGATGCTACAGGTTGTGTTTATTTGCTTCGGGAACAAACGCACCACACGCGCCTGCACTCGTCCACATGTCTCTCGCTTATGCTTCCTTCTTTCTTTCTGCCGGGCTTAGGGGTCCGCTGGGGACCCTCAGGCCTTTGGCCCGCCCATGTTATGAGTCCTTCTCTCTCTCTCTCTCTCTCTCTCTCTCTCTCTCTCTTGGCTTAGACTCAGACTCTACAGGAGGTCTGGGAGCTTTGCTCTACGCCCCCTAGAAGGTAAGCAAACAACTGGAGATCGCTATACAAGATCCCAGAAACCCAAACATGCGACGCACTATACAAAGAAGCAGCGGTCAGATCTACCGATAATGGAACTGGACTCAATTAGCTACCACCTTCAGCGCAAAATTTCCGAACTCCGCGTTCTGCCCCAGCCGACTGCCTGAAGATTTGCGGCGGGAGACCTCTGCGCCGGTGAGGTACAGAGGCGTTGCGGGTGTGGGATTACAAGATCCAAGGCTTCTCGCGAGATGAGGTTGTTGACGAATCTGAGTTGCATTTCTGTCTGGTCTTGTGCCAGCTGTGGTAACGGCGCTAGGCCAAGAGATCTCACTCCTGTCTCTGCGTCCCAATGTCGCGTTCCTGCAACTGTGAAACTGTCTGCCTACATCTCGTACTCGCATCTGAGGATCTGCAAAAAACAAGAAATCCTGAACCCGAAACAAGAAATCCTAAACCCGACCGAGAACCCTGCACCAACCTACGGTCCGAAACCAGCTCATGCCAAGCTTCGCTCATCGGCAGCCCGTCGGCAGCAGGAGCCATGTTGCTTACATTGGGGAGCTACATATCGTAAGATTCCGCTCAGGGTTAGAAGAGTGTCTTGCATTGCCCAAAACTTTAGACTGTAGCATCTGAGCTTGCAGGGATGTGAAATTCCGATTGCGCGACTTCGCAGATGAATACACACAAGTGGGGAACCAGAAAGAGGAAATCTGAAACACCTGTGAATTCTGGCACCTTTGGTGGCAGCGTGCCTTCCAATGCGATCCGCTCTAACCAAGCTCCCAGGCCCTAGTCATGCACGGGAGTTTGCGTTCTTGCTCTGAAAGGTGGGTGTTGAGAAATGTGGTCGGTTCGGGAAGTGCTGAAGCTCGCCGTCCAGGTTTGGCATGACTTGCACTTTAATTAAAAAGGCTCGCAAGGCCTCGGAGCACCTGCCGAGTATCTATGTCTGATTGGAAAAAGGCTGCGACATGCTGCAGCAACTAGGACACCAAGCCTGAACATCTGAGAGTCTGAGATGCTCCTTGTACTTGCAAGTGTGTGTGTGTGTACATATGAGGATGTACATGAACATGAACATGTACATATGTGTTTACATATATATATATATGTATATACATAACCATAGAATATCTATTGCCTCTGAAAGCAGTCACAAGCTCCCAATTATACGAACACATAGGGATAGGGATCTGAACTTGAATTCTGCTGGGACCCCACATTGTACACCTGACTTGACATCCTCGAAGGATTACACAGCTCAAGATGTTGACCTGCGTCTTTTTGAAGCAATGGCAGCGAGAAGTGGTTCGCTTGTGATTGCCCACTCACTAACGCACATCTGTCAGGGCTGGGACCCTGATACGCATTCCAGGTCACTCCTGAAAAGCTTCTAGGACGTCTTTCATTTCTGGTCGGCTCATCTCATCCTCCATCCGCGCAACGAACTTGGCTTCTGTGCGTATCGCCTCAGGAGTTTGGGGGATTTTGGCCACGCACAAAGAGCACAGGACTTCAAGCTGTCTATCCCCTCGTTACGAAGCTTGCGGGCCCCAAACATCCCTTCCTATGCAAACCCTAGTTGCGGTACAAGCCGCACGGGACAAGACTGTAACTAAAGCCCTGCACACCGACGTCAAACCCTTGCCTCCACCAGCTGCGCAATGCTGCGCTCTAATCCAGGCACCGGATGCTGTTCAAACAGAGCCTTCAGTCAAGTTCAACAGGTCGCAGACATTAGCTTCGGGCACAGGGCCCTTGAGATCTCTTGAGTGCTTGTGCTTCTGCTGAAAGTTGCGAGTTACTCGTGTCTTGTTGCACATGGCTGTCCGGTCTGTCCTTCTCGCGTGTTCTGAACGGATGTCGCATCGCAATGACGACTAAGCTATAAGCAAACTGCATGTCATTCCAACAAAAAGTCCGTCTTAGAGGCCTTTTTTCTGGAAGTGATCTGGAGCAACAGAGTGATAGCTGCAGCTAGAGGCTCCACATGTTCTCAACAAGCTCAGCCAGTGGACCAAGTACAGACGCAACACACACACAAACTTTGGGACACATTGCGGGACAAAAACGTCACCTACTAACTATTCACGCTGGAAGTCTCGAATGAAACCGGCGAAGAAACTGTGGAAAGACTCTGATCTTAACTGCGGGCGTCCCAAACTCGAAATCCTCCCGAGGAGCCTCCACGGCGTTGGCGTGAGACTTGTCCGGCAGCGCCCCAGCAGCGCATTCTATCACAGAGCCCAAGAGGCGCACGTTGGCTCCTGGAGATAGCACTGCCATCCACACTACCTTTTGTACCAAAAAACAAGACCTTCTGTGCTTTTCACTGTGGTAAAATCTTACTGTATATATTGCTAGGTCTTACAATAGCCAGCTGTATTCACCAGATCCTAGGTTCCGAAAGGTCTCGCATAGTATCGTGAGAAACTAGCTACTAGCAGATGCTGCTAGATCGTATCAACCATGGCTACATTTTGCCGTGTCCAGTGTGTCATTCCTCTACAAGTACATAGCACAAGGTTAAAATGCACATTAGGGTGCATTACCGACCAGTATGTTCATAATTTGTACATTGGTGCAGCGTGGTACTTTGCCGTATGGTTTTGCACAGGATTATGTACCGGCACGCGTGGTATGCACCCTCATGCAGTTCTAGGTGCTAGCATGTACATCATTTCGGGGAATGCGGGTATCAAAGTTTGTGCCTGCTCTCATTTTTCATGCTTTCGACTTCATGTAGCTGTACATTGCAGTACACTATTGTAATGTGCTGTTGGTGGCACCGCACCAACGGTTGCCATGTCGCGACGGACGTCAAACTCGTTTGGTCAAGTGAAGCTGGCACGGTTAAACCAGTAGCATTTCACTTTCTTCTGTAAGTATACGACTGGAGGCTTGCTAAGCTTGCACAGCGTGCACAACAAAAGGGGCACACCTTCGAATGACAGAAACCCCTGCGCGAGTGTGCAAGGGTATTCCTGTCACCCTGAGCCCTGTATCTCCGACCTGGCCGGCATGGGAACCGGGAAGGTCCAAAAACTAAAAACCTGCTTATCATCACGGAGCTATTTCTCACCTGAGCCTCTTGTACAGCAGAGAAGGCGCCTCGAAGGCGACCGGTGATGGCACGACGACGCTGAAGGAACCTCGCTGCTGCATCTTAGCGGCCTTAAATTGGGCCTAATATAGAACAATCTCAATAAGGTTTTGGGGCCTTTTGGGGCCATTATACTATAATTCAATACAAGGACCCCCCCCCAAAAAAATAGCATAGGTACTTATTCAAGCCCCTAACTGTAGGATCTAATGCTGACCCGATCCAATCTTTTCAGTTTGGCCCCGATGCTGTGCCGATTTGTGCTTCCTTTAGCTTCACCAGAAACCATCCTCTGCAGGGGCCGACAAATTCACACGAATAACAAGACTTCACAAAAAAGGAGGGTGGAGTCCCGCTGACATGCATGTTTATACTTCATACCCAGAACGCAGGATCCTTAGTATGCATGTGCGAAGTTGTACCCGGCTCTCATCCGGTCGGTCAGGATTCAGATATGCCGGGGCAGGCTAAGGAAAATCTAAAGTTGAGGATCCAGACGCTCACCGATCCATTTCCGAAGAGGAGCCAGCGCCACGCAATCTGCGCACCCTCCCGATCCATGGCGGCGACTCCCTGCATGAAGCTGGAAGCAAGTACAAGAGTGCAGGAAGGGGGAGGGAGGGGGTGAGAAGAAATGGTGAGGGCACGGGAGGGGTGGAAAAGTCCGTCTCTGGGTTTTCCATCACCCGTGACCCCTCTGTGTCTGTTTGTAACGACGCCTGCTGCGTGCTTTATGCACAAGCTGAGGCCCAAGTAGGTTATATACACTTTATTGAGGTTCTTTCGATTTTCGACTCTCGAAACTCGTCACGATGAGAATTTTTTTGTAGTTGGATAAGAACCTTATCATAACTCTTGCTGGAATAACTACAGCTGCTCGCCACAAGGTCAAAAGCAGGAACGCCACCGCCTTTCTGAGCACTGGCCGGAAGAATGCTAGCAGCGCGGCTTTAACGCACTCCAAACATTTCATGACGTTATGAGTTGCGGACAAGATTGCACACGTTCTCTTCTACGCAACCGAGTTGGTGACACTTTAACGCCCTCAACATCCCTAAGCCCTACAAACCCAAAGCCTACGAGCCCCACTCATTAAACACCCCTGGCCTGTATTGGATACATGATGTCCTGCAGTCGGACTCCATTGCGACCTCCCATTGCCATGTCCAGCGTCTTCCTGTGCTCCGTGTTCGATGGGTCCCGAAGAGCAACCAAGACTCCGACAAACAGCTGACACCCTTACACGAATCACTTGCCTCGTTGAGATGTTAGAAGCATGAACAGTAAGTACTATTAATATGATGGTGACTATGGACATAACGAGTATATGGATTGACCTTTTGTATAACATGACTTGAGATCGTTACAGCTCTCTGTAACATTGAGTGTATGCGATGTCAGAGAGAACACCCATGGCTGCTGCAAAGAATCGTTCGCAGATCTTTCCGTGGGGCTGCCCCCAGCGCTTTGTAGATACTGAGGCGGACAGCTTGTGGCGTGTCTGATCCCTTCACGTAGCGACGAAGGGCTTGGTACTGCGCGTTGCCGTTGGCATTGGTGAGAACAATTCTGAACACCGAGGTCTTCAGATCGTCTGGTAGAAGGCTTTGCTTCGTCGCCAGGGTCGGGGCCTGGAACCAGGCATCGAACTTTTTCTGCGCCTCTTTGCGGACCTCCTTGTCCTGCGGCATGTATCTTGCGACCAGGGCAAGCACTAGCGCTCGCTTTTGCCGGAGCAGGTCGCTATCATGCTCCGAAGGGGACCAGCCGGTCTGCACAAGAGCATCGCGAAGGAGGCCATTCCCCACGGCCTGCTGGAGGGCCAGGGTATACCTTGGTTCAACCAGGCATACCACATCTGAACCCAAGTTCCCAAGCATGAGTCCTTCTGCGACTTCTTAGGCTAAACATGACCCTCCCGGTTGGAAACCATAGAGCCCGACGGGATATATACCAAAAAGGCCAAGGTCGCTCGCTGCTCTGGATTGCAGACACCGTCCGGTACAGGGTTCCCAGAACACTGGCCAGGGCCTCCCACACCTAGGAAGCGACTACTCTCCTGGCATCCGGCCCTGGGTTTCATGTCCTTACGTACTACTAGGAAAGTCAGGCATACCATGAAAGACCCATGGGAGAGGATTCCGTTACTATCGCAGAAAAGTTCATAAACACGAATTCCACATTACAAACTTTGCTAGGGAAAGTCCGGTGTGTCCCAGGCACGTGCGTCATCTTCTCACCTTTGAAAGCAGCCAGAAGTCGTAGCAGCTCGTGGATGGGTTGCTGGCCCTGGGCGAATGTAGTGTCGAACAGGCGAACCACAGGCTACTACTCCTTACTGTTCCTGTCGTTCTTAGGAATGCTCCTGTTTTGGCTTGGTCATTGCAGCTTCCAAACACGGCCCGGCATGGCCAAGATTCTACACAAACACCTTTTCCAAAGTGTAACCTCGAAGCCACACCCAACATCCTAGGAAAGCTCGGACCTGCTTCGCGAAGGCCATGGCATCCATGAGCAAGCCTATTCCTGAGTTGTTGGTTCATGGGACACTAGGTGGCAAATTTGTGGCACTTGCTCCTCCAATACGAGCCGAAGCGTTTTCCCGAATGCGCAGCAGAAGCTTGGTTAAAGGTGTGTGACGCTCGGGTTAGGGAGTTGGGCCAAAGAACGCGCGTGCCCTGGATGCGACAAGCTAGGAGGAATTCCGCACGAGGCGTGTCCGCGCGAGTCGTGACAGGGTCGTGGTAGGCTGAGGCGGAAAGGGTTGAAAGGAATCCGGCTTAAAGCGTTCCCAAGCTCACGGAAAATCGAAACAGACCAAGCAGCCGCAAAACATGCAAAAGCATACTCACGCTACAACACATACACACACTGCGGAATCGACCACCTAACTCTAAACTCCAAACATTGTCACTAAACCTCTGAAGCCCAAAGCCAGCAAGCACTCTAAACCTCAGAACACCCAAAACCCCCAACCCCTAAAGCCCCTTACACCCCTACACAACATCCAAAACGGGAAAACATAAAACACTTAAAGTCCCTCCCCACCACACTGACACTTCAAGAAAGGCTACAGCCAACCTGAAACGCCTACAAAAAATCCGAGATTCGGTCGACTGCTGAGGCCTCTCCGGAGCGAACCGCCTTAGAAAGCTGCGACCTGGAGCTTCGGAAATTTGAAGACATACAAAGCTAGTTAGGGTTCAGGGTTCAGGGTTTAGGGTTTAGGGTTTAGGGTTTAGGGTTTTAGGGTGGTTTTAGGGTTTTAGGGTTTTAGGGGTTCGACTCTCACTCTCGCACGCAGCAGGCAAGGATCCTCATAATGCCGTCACTCCTACAGACGCTCCTTGAGCCACCGCCATGACGCCAGTGATACTAACACACGATCCTAAAACTGAATAAGCAGAGTCATCACCGCGGTCTCCAAGAATCCAGGTCATTGCACTGGAATTCCTATGTAGTCACGTTTACAGCATCTCCACAAGTTGGAACTACTTATACACTGGGTCGAAATCGCGAACTACCTAAGCTCATCAGAACTGTCACAACACAGCGCTCCTAATCACCCACCACTTGGCGAAATCTCTGTTTCAAAAGTCTCTCTTTTTCTTGTTCAAACTCTTCTGGACAGTCAGGCTGATTTCGGCATCCAACGAAGTCAGGAACGAGTGACGACATCGATACCAGTTGCCCTGACAACGACGAAGAGCTGCTCTCGGACATTCAGAGAAAACCAAACCATGCCCCAGAAGAAGCTGCGAGCAGTTGCCTTTGAAGCGGAAGCCAAACCAGGACATCACTGCTCACCACGTGGCTACACAAAAATTCCTGTAAGCCAAACTTCGCAGACTGACGGGTAATTGGGTGCCCTCCAGGCTCTGGCTGAACTTATCTCCGAACGTCAAACTCTGCAGGCCGCTGGGTAGTTCGGTGCGCTCCAGGCTCTGGAAGAAAATTTTTCCAAACGTCAAACTCTGCAGGC